TTTGCCATACAAGGAAATTAATTAGTGACTATTAGATTTTGTAACCTCTGGGGGAGCACGCTGGTAAAGTCGTCCAGATGGGGGAACCAACGAATCGTTCAGTCCTCGCCTTAAGAGAAAGAATTCGCCCCGAACTGGTCGAACTTAAGCATCTGGGATGAAGAAGGTGGGATGTAGAAGGTGGGATGAAGAAGGTGGGATGAAGAAGGTGGGCTGAAGAAGGTGGGATGAAGAAGGTGGGATGAAGAAGGTGGGCTGAAGAAGGTGGGCTGAAGAAGGTGGGATGAAGAAGGTGGGATGAAGAAGGTGGGCTGAAGAAGGTGGGATGAAGAAGGTGGGATGTATCATCCAAAATTTGTTTAGTTTTACAAGAACATTTTTCTTCCAATAGTTCTTCAAGTGATGGATGTTTAGTTTGTGTGATTTCCTGGTGAGTCTGTTTATACGGTGTTTGATATCAGACGATGAGCTTTCTTGGTGAGTCTGTTTATACGGTGTTTGATATCAGACGATGAGCTTTCTTGGTGAGTCTGTTTATACGGTGTTTGATATCAGACGATGAGCTTTCTTGGTGAGTCTGTTTATACGGTGTTTGATATCAGACGATGAGCTTTCTTGGTGAGTCTGTTTATACGGTGTTTGATATCAGACGATGAGCTTTCTTGGTGAGTCTGTTTATACGGTGTTTGATATCAGACGATGAGCTTTCTTGGTGAGTCTGTTTATACGGTGTTTGATATCAGACGATGAGCTTTCTTGGTGAGTCATTTTATACGGTGTTTGATATCAGACGATGAGCTTTCTTGGTGAGTCTGTTTAAACGGTGTTTGATATCAGACGATGAGCTTTCTTGGTGAGTCTGTTTATACGGTGTTTGATATCAGACGATGAGCTTTCTTGGTGAGTCTGTTTATACGGTGTTTGATATCAGACGATGCGCTTTCTTGGTGAGTCAGTTTATACGGTGTTTGATATCAGACGATGAATTCCCCACACCAGCAGGTCCTACTGACATAAAGCAGGCTTCCTATTGTTGCAGGGTACAATAAGTTAATAACGTTTTTTTTTTGGGGGGGTTGGGGGGGGTTGATTTTGTCTATACAGAACTTAATATACGAATGTACGGTGTTGGTGAGCTCGTCAATGTCCGGGCAAGTGTTTATAAACGTGCCACAGTCTGTACTTTCCAAGCAGCCCTGAAGTTCTCTGTCGCCTCATCTGACCACAGGTCAAGAGTTTTTGTTTGAGTTTTTATTGTTTTTAAGCCCGACTTGTAGCATTGGATTAGGCGGACCATTGCGTGCTCGGATTCTCCTAGTGGAAGTAAAGCATGATATGTGTAGGCCTTTTTATGTTACCATAAGGCATCTCCAGAGTTGGGGCTTGTCGTGTGGGGCAAGTAACTTACTGGATGGATGTCGGCATGGATTTCTCCAGTAATCGTTGATTTAAAGTCCCACGTAACAAGACGAAAGGAGTCTGGGTTTTTTGTGTTTCGAAATCATGGATTACGTCCAAAAGTCTCCCAGTAGCCTGCTCTTAGTTAGCATTAGATCTGATTAGGTGGCAAGTGAGTGAGGATGATACAGATTTGGGCGAACTCCCTTGGTAGGTACAATGGCCTTAAAGCGATGCAGAGTAGTTCTATGGCGGGTGCACAAACTACGTGTTTCACGGTCCTGTTGTTGATGCTACAGTAGTTTCTGTAAACATATATTGCCGTTGCCCCTCCCTTGGATTTGCCGCTTTCGGTTGTTCTATCGGCACGGAAATGCTTCAATTCGTCCAGCGCCACTGCTGAATCCGGTACCATTTCGCTAAACCACGTAAAAGATCTCTCGCCAAATTGATAGAAATACTTACAGCATTTCGTTACTTACTGATCTAACGTTTCCCCGAAACAACAGGTGGAAGAAAGCCTCAATGGCCTCTGTTTCTGCTGTTTACACGAATGCCTCCTCATTCTGCCCCGTCTTCGTCGTCTCAGTCGCGAATCGGTCGCCATGTGTTGTTGACATGGCGGAAGTGACATTTTTACACTAGGCTGAGCAATGTGATATCCGAAGTCCATATTAATGCTGTTGGCCACGAAGAGAAACAAACACATCTCACAAGACAATCCTCCGTAGCACATCCATTTGTACTTGAGTGAACATACAATTAAATAAAATGTGCAAACTGTGATGAAACAAGCTGAAAAATATACACTGATGCAATCCCTTCGCCTGCCAAGCGGCGCCCCGAAAGTAAAAAAAACAACAAAAAACCATCCTTGAGCCCTTGAGATAGAGAAGAAGAGATCCATACACATGAGCCCTTGAGATAGAGAAGAAGAGATCCATACACATGAGCCCTTGAGATAGAGAAGAAGAGATCCATACACATGAGCCCTTGAGATAGAGAAGAAGAGATCCATACACATGAGCCCTTGAGATAGAGAAGAAGAGATCCATACACATGAGCCCTTGAGATAGAGAAGAAGAGATCCATACACATGAGCCCTTGAGATAGAGAAGAAGAGATCCATACACATGAGCCCTTGAGATAGAGAAGAAGAGATCCATACACATGAGCCCTTGAGATAGAGAAGAAGAGATCCATACACATGAGCCCTTGAGATAGAGAAGAAGAGATCCATACACATGAGCCCTTGAGATAGAGAAGAAGAGATCCATACACATGAGCCCTTGAGATAGAGAAGAAGAGATCCATACACATGAGCCCTTGAGATAGAGAAGAAGAGATCCATACACATGAGCCCTTGAGATAGAGAAGAAGAGATCCATACACATGAGCCCTTGAGATAGAGAAGAAGAGATCCATACACATGAGCCCTTGAGATAGAGAAGAAGAGATCCATACACATGAGCCCTTGAGATAGAGAAGAAGAGATCCATACACATGAGCCCTTGAGATAGAGAAGAAGAGATCCATACACATGAGCCCTTGAGATAGAGAAGAAGAGATCCATACACATGAGCCCTTGAGATAGAGAAGAAGAGATCCATACACATGAGCCCTTGAGATAGAGAAGAAGAGATCCATACACATGAGCCCTTGAGATAGAGAAGAAGAGATCCATACACATGAGCCCTTGAGATAGAGAAGAAGAGATCCATACACATGAGCCCTTGAGATAGAGAAGAAGAGATCCATACACATGAGCCCTTGAGATATAGAAGAAGAGATCCATACACATGAGCCCTTGAGATATAGAAGAAGAGATCCATACACATGAGCCCTTGAGATAGAGAAGAAGAGATCCATACACATGAACCCTTGAGATAGAGAAGAAGAGATCCATACACATGAGCCCTTGAGATAGAGAAGAAGAGATCCATACACATGAGCCCTTGAGATAGAGAAGAAGAGATCCATACACATGAGCCCTTGAGATAGAGAAGAAGAGATCCATACACATGAGCCCTTGAGATATTAGAAGAGATCCATACACATGAGCCCTTGAGATATAGAAGAAGAGATCCATAAACATTAGCTCCATTATTATATTTTTCTTTTCGTTAGTTTAATTTTACACTCTCCACGTATATCCACTCATTTCTTACACTTAGTTTGATTTAGATTTAAAAAAAAAAAACTCGCGATTTGGTTTATCTTATAATACCCTGGTAGCAGTTAACTATAATAAACAAATATTTGTTCCATATAAATATAAACATTTTTTTTCTTATACTTCTTTTTGTAAAACCTTGAGCTTATCATAAAGCTCAAGAATTAACCCACAGTAACTTATCTACAGTAAAAAACACACGTTTTTCATTATAATTTTAGTGCTGGTATTGCTTATCTTAAAAAAAAAAATATTTCAAACCTCTTAAAGTCTTTCACCTTGCTATCGGCGTTGTCTCGTTTTAAGCCTGGCATCGTAACTCTCTTAAGAATCTCAGCCTTCACCCTGCAAGCCACCGGCCCCGACGGCCCTCCCAGTTTCCAAGTGGATTCGACCGTTTCGAAACTTGTCATTGAAGTTAACAGCACGGATCCCCTGTCCACCATCATCTTAAAACCCAGCGGTAAGCTATTCGAAATGTGTACGGTGACAGTGGAACAAAAGGAGAGCAAGATAATTTATCTCTTCTGTTGACAATTAATATTTTAATATAGGGCACATGGGAGAGGGGCATGATATGGGGGGGGGGGGGGCGGGGGGGCTTTTAAGTCCATGTTTGTGTCTCCTTAGTCCACACTATTCACGTTATTAAGACATACTAAAACTCCATTTTTTATATTTAAAAAAAGTTGTTTTCATGGAGAGCAAGATAATTTATCTCTTCTGTTGACAATTAATATTTTAATATAGGGCACATGGGAGAGGGGCATGATATGGGGGGGGGGGGTCGGGGGGTCATTTAAGTCCATGTTTGTGTCTCCTTAGTCCACACTATTCACGTTATTAAGACATACTAAAACTCCATTTGTTATATTTAAAAAAAGCTGTTTTCAGACATAAGAATACTTTGTATAACGTGATTCAGCTGTCCTGACAACCCAATTTGCATTTTTTTGTTGTATGGAGACTTAAAGATTTTAAGAACAAATGTAGAACATATGATATAGCTGCCATTTCAAGTGGATTCATCTTTTTTTTTTTTAAAATCATTTCTAAATTAACTCTGCTAAAATAGTCCTCTCCATTTCACTGTTCAGGTGAATCTCTAAACTCACGAAGCAGACGAGACGTTGTTGGGGCATGGCAGACGGCCTTACGTCACACAGACTTCCGTCAACTGGCGTCACCAAACTTGACTTCATACTCTTGGACCCATCGGCATCTTTTACTGAATACATTAAGGAAAGGTACAGTTCACTCGACGATGGACCGTCGCATGGCCATTCACAGTAACTTTAAATCAATGTTCAAAACTAGAATCTACGGCAGAGGGGACCAGGTGAACATTTCAAGGTCCCAATCAAGTACCGCAGAGCTATCTCACAATGTCAAAGGAATAACTCGCAGGTACGAATCGTACGATGAGACAACTCATCCAAGGTCTCCACCAGGCGGCAGGGGCCATCATGTCAGGAACCTGAACACCAGACAGGCCATGGGCTTAGACGATCGGGGCCCAGATGAACATCACGCCAGGAACCTGAACACCAGACAGGCCATGGGCTCAGACGATCGGGGCCCAGATGATGCCCGCCGTCCTCGACGAACTAGGTCAGCCCACGTGACCTACACCCGGATATCGGAGGACACTGTTAGGTGGGATATCGACCCACCTGACACAGGTGGGTTCATGACAGTACATTTTTTAATAAAAACTAACCAATGATCCTAGTATTCCGAGGGATCTTTTCTTTTTCTGAGTGTTAGAATTTCCCTTCCCAGGCACATTTTGAGACTGTACATAACGTTTTGAGAATCTAAAGAATTGAATTAATTTTTGTTCTTTAAAAAAATCATTTTAAGCAACTAGTTCAACCCCCTAAAATAATTAACATATTAATTAATCCTTAAGATTATTTACTAATTGGTTTGTCGAGTACAACCTCCCATTATTTAAAATTCATTATACTATGTATTAAAGAATCAATACATATAATTGTCTTGGTAGGAAAGGAAGCATGGTGCAATGGTGAGGGCAATAGCGCGGACAATAAAATTCCCGATAACTGCGCTAAAATGAGATTCTTAAAAATCCCGCAAGCGCGTTTGGTGCGCAATCTTTTTTTTAAAAAAAACACGAAAATTTAATAAGTCTAAAATTAAAAACGGTGTAATACAAATGCGATGTAAAAGGGGGTAGGGCATTGGGCCGTCGCGCACCCTCGGAGAGGGTGTTTAGCACCAACTGGGATTCTTGAAAAGAGCGTTAGATCAAATGCACGCTTTGCCAAGTAAGTTTTGGAGATGGGAAGCTCATGCACTTCAGCCGCCATTGTTATGGTGGGCTGTAACCATAGTAACACATACACAACATGTCTGAATGACCGCGATTTTGATCTTTTCGTTCTTTACGCACAGGGCATAGAGCCTGGGACTCAAATCTTTTTAAATATCTTTTGATTATTGTATATGATACACCTGAAAGCTATCGAAAAGAAAGAAGTCCATCTCTAGACAACGTCGATACATTTCAGGTCTCTGGTCTATCAGCACGACCGGTGCAGAGACAGCGAACATCACCATCATGGCCGTCACAAGTTTGGACTTCCGGTTTGAGTTCTTCGACCTGACGATGAATGCCATGAATTACCCGCCCATCGCAAGTGAGTACCAAAAATGTCATGTATCAAAAAATCAATTTAAAAAAAAACAAACTTGTAAGAAGTATATATCTATATGAAAACAAGTCTTACATATTTATGCGAGCGGTTTTCAAAAGTCGTGAATCTGCGGTAAGTGACTAAGAAGAAGGTTGGAATGTCAGACGTGGAAAATGTCAGATATCATCAAACGCCGGCCAACGCGCCTACCCCGACATGGATTGGTGGAAGGAATTCAATATAACACCATTTTGTTCGACTCCTGGCCTGTGCGGGCTACATTTGAGGAGATCCATATATATTTTTGTAAACGCCTAACCTTTGGGCTTTCGTTTTAGCTCACGCTTTAAGATGAACGGTTGAAAGCACTGACACAGATTGTATTCGAGAGTATCCAACCAGTTTTAAGTATGACATCACACGGAGACATGTCTGGGTTGTTTATATTTTAATTTTCTTTTAACAACTCCCCACATTTTTGTGACTGTTGCTAAATTTTTAAAAAAATGTGAGTGACCCTGGAAAAAGGGGGGGGGGGGGAATTTT